GCTTAAGTAATGCTGAATGAGTTTGGCCCTTTTGATTTTCTGACCCCAGCTCCTTGCACATTTCATTGTAGTATTTTGCTTTGTCATCTCACACTGCCTTTTTGAATCTTCTGTTCAGCTCTTTAGTATCTTAAATTCTTCCTTGTGCTTTGGCTTCTCTATGCTCCAGTGCAATCTTCAGAGTTTCTTCTGACATCCATTTTGGTCTTTTTTTTCTCTTCTGTCTTTGTAATGACCGTTTGCACTCTTCTTGGATGACACATTTGACATCCTCCCACAACTCATTAGGTCTTTGCTCATTAGGGTTCAAAGCCTCAAACCTGTTCCTGAGATGGTTCTGAAATTCAAGTGGGATGAACTCAAAGTATATTTTGGTTCCCGTGAATTCGGTTTAATTTTCCTCCGCTTCAGCTTGAACTTGCATATGACTAGTTGGTGGTCTGTTCCACAGTCAGCTCCGGGACTAGTGTTCACATCTGATATTGAGCTTTAGATTAAGACAGACTAGGAAGAAGAATTTGTCATCCACTTCTGAAATAGCAGGCCTCTGGAAACCCTATGTACAACAGAACACAGGTAAACTAACTGAGAGGGCAATTGAGGTAGAACTTTCAAGTATGGAAATACAAAGGAAGAGGAACAGTTATTTGTAAGCAGACACTAGTGATTGGAACATGCAATGTGAGAACCAGGAATGTGGGAAAATTAGATATTGTTAAGAAAGAAATGGAACGCATAAATATTGACATATTAGGCATTGGAGAGATGAGATGGACTGGCATGGGGCGTTTTGAGTCAGATGATCATATGATATATTACTCCGGAGATGAAAAGATGGGAAAAATGGTGTTGCTTTCATAGTTAGAAAAGTAATTTCTAGATCCGTCTTGAAGTACATCATTGTGACAGGATAATATCCATAAGCTTACAAGGAAGTCCACTGAACACCAGTATCATTCAGATATATGCACCAACAACCAGATCCAAAGAAGAAGAAATAGATGATTTCTACCAACTTTTACAGTCATAGATCAATCAAACATGCAATCAAGATACATTGATAATAATGGGTGACTGGAATGTAAAAGTTGGGCACAGAGAAGAAGAATCAGTAGTTGGAAAACATGGACTTGGTGACACAAATGAAGCTGGAGAGAGAATGATTGAATTTTGTACAATCGAGGAGGAATGTGGCATCAGGATTGGTGGAAGAATTGTCAACAACCTGTGTTATGCAGATGACACAACCCTGCTCGCTGAAACTGAGAAGGACCTGAAGCGCTTGCTGCAGAAGGTCAAGGACTGCAGCCTCCTATATGGATTGAAGTTCAACATCAAGAAAACAAAGATTCTCTCCACTGGGCCAATTGGCAGCGTCAGTATGGATGGTGAAGAGATTGAGATAGTTAACAGTTTTAGTTTGCTTGGCTCCACAGTCAACACTCTTGGTAACAGCAGCCAGGAAATTAACAGATGAATTGCATTGGGAAAGTCAGCTGTAGCAGCCAGGAAATTAACAGATGAATTGCATTGGGAAAGTCAGCTGTGAGGGATCTCTCAAGAGTACTGAAATGCAACGAAGTCTGGCTGGAGATTAAGGTGAGCCTGATTCAGGCTATAGTCTTTGCAATTACATGCTATGCATCAGAGAATTGGACAGTGAATAGGATGATAGAGAATTGATGCCTTTGAGCTTTGGTGCTGAAGAAGAGTGTTGAATATACCATGGACTGCTAGGAAAACAAACAGGTTTGGCCTGGAGAGGGTGAAGCCAGAATGTTCCCTGGAGTCAAGGATTCTGAAACTTCATCTGACATACTTTGGGCATGTTTCAAAGAGGGACTGGTCCTTGGAGAGGGACATCACGTTTGGGAGAATGGAGGGATGGCGCAGGAGAGGAAGACCCTCTATGAGATGGATCGATTCTGTGAGTGGAGTGGTGGGAATGAATGTGTTTGAGACAGCGAGATTGGCACAGGATAGAACGGCATTTAGGGCTCTTGTACGGCATTTAGGTCGCTATGAGTCGCAAACGACTCGATGGCACATAACAACAATAACAATGACTTATTCATTGCAAATACTTTTTTTTTTGTAAATACGTTTTATAAGAAACATAAATGCAGGTTATACACATGGATTTCACCTGATGGTATGCATAGGAATCAGATCTATTACATCTGCGGAAAAAACTGCTGGAGAAGCAAAGCTATTACATCTAATTAAAATATAGTGCCTGGCACAAGATGGGTGCCAATTCAATATTTGGCAACTAAAGAAAGGAGTGAATCTCTACTGCCTGATATAGCAATAGGAAACATAGGGGGAGTCCATGAAATGTTTGCTGGACTTTAAATGCCCTTACTGCCAACCACAGTGTCTACCTCTCTGTGCTCTTATTTAAGGATTTGCTGAATATATTACTCAGCACAAGGCTAAACACATAACAAACCTAAAGCCTATCTAGGGCCCTCAAAAGGCTAAAAGGACAGATGAATGCTTGTGAAATACCAGCTGAGTGAGTGTGCCCCTGAGCTTGGTGGAGGTGCTTGACATGCAGCAAAAGCCCTGGGATGTTGGCTGGTTAAAGTTACTGCAGAGAACCTTGTCTTTCTTGCAGGTGTGGCCCCTGGAACCCGACTCCATCAGGACAAACCTTTGCCCATTTGGGAAGGGTGAGCAGACACTGGCCTGGGTGGCACTGGCTCAGGTGGCTCCATGCCCAGTGCAGTGACCCTGGCCTCTCTCTGCAGACCCCCGTGCTCACCAGAATCTATGGCGTGTCACCCAGCTGCAGTTGCTGCCTCCATTGAGCTGGCGACTGAGTGCACCATGTGAGGAGCTTCAGGCAGAGATGGTGCTGTGCTGGCAGGCACCTCATGGGGGCCCCTGTCAGCCTCTGGTCCCTCCACTGTCCCGGAAAAATGTCACTATCAATGTGAGCTGGGAAGACTGAGGTTCCTGGGTGGGCGCAGGGAAAATGACACGGGTGCCCCTGGTGACTCCTCCCTCCCTTTCTCTGCAGAAGGTCCTGGATTTGCCCTTGTTGCAAGGCCACCCTAATCTCTGTGTTCAGGTGAGATGGGAGCACATGAGCTCAGTGTGGGCCTATACTATTCCCTAGACCGTCAGTGCCCTGATAACTGGAGGACCCAGAACACCCTCTGAAAGTCACTCACTTCTGCCAACCCCCTCATGTCATCAGTGGCAGTGGTAATAGTAACTGCTTCATTGGATGATTGTAAGGCCCAAAGGAAAAAGCTGTGCCTTTGGAATGGGCCCAGATTCAATAAATGTTAGCTGTTTGTCTTATTGCCAGTGTTATCATATTTCTCCACCCTGTGTATTTGGTTCAAAATGTAGTCAACAGGTATTTACTGTCTATGTTCCAGACACTTCTACTGTGTTTTAGGAACTGAATGTATGAATAAGGGAAGTTTATGTTCTAATAGGGAAAGAGAGACAATAAGCATAATGCACAAGTGAAATATGTAACTAAAGGAATGTACACACGATATGCTGTGTGAGGTTTAGCAGTGTCCTGTGGGAAGATGGGGAGGGGTGGTCAGTATCTTAGAGCACCTAGTTAGGTAAGGAGTGAGGCATCTCTCACTTCTTCATAAGGTGTTAGGAACAGAAAGCCCTGTAGCACAGATTATCTCAAAAAGTAGAAAGAAGGAGCGAAGGGTGGGGTCACCCTGTCTATTGTTGTTGTTAGGTGCCATCTAGTGAAGTAAGACTCACTGCAAGCCTATGAACAACGGATCTAAACCCTGTCCTCTCCTGTGCCCTCCTCCTCAACTCTGACATATTTGAGCCCATTGCTGCTAAAGTAGTCAGACTTTCTCTTTGGTCCTTGTAGCCTTGACCCGTGACCTCCCTAGTGCCCTTACTCTGTCCTCCTTTGACCAGGTGAGCAGCTTGGGGAAGTTGCAGCTGGAGAAGTGCCTGTGGACTGGTGAGTGGGGCCTTGGGGCGCTGGAGCCACACTGTAGCAGAGTTAACTCCGTGGAGGGGCTAGCTCCTGGGAATGAAGGTCAAGGCTTGTGAGCAAATGGATGTATAAATGGTACTCCCTGGCAAGACTGGGTCCCACTCAGACTGACCTCTCACCCTTTCCAGACTCGCTGGGGTCCCTCAAGGATGACATGTTGCTGGTGGAGATGCAAGGCCATCATGAAAACAGATCGCTGTGTGCTTTGGAATCTGGTGGCTGCACCCCACTTCCCAGCAGAGCCTTCACGGTGAGCTGGAGACCCTCTCCCACAGCCTGCAGCTCCATCTCCAGCCTGCCCTCAGGGTTCACTCCACCCAGGCAGTTGGCGTGTTGTCCTAAAAGTGTTACACTGTTAACCCAATGGCCACACTTCTGTTGGATCCACCAGCAGCTTTGTGGGAGAAAAGATGGACAGCCTCCTCGCATGCTATTTACAGCCTCCAACACACCCCTAGAGGGTCAGCTCTGAGCTGGTTCCTACACTCAGGCTATGAAAGTTCATACCAAGCCCTGGGCTGCTCTCTGGGATTGGGGTGACTCAGACCTGGACCCTACCGTCAGTGGCAACTGAAGCCTGCGGGTCTCCTCAGAAGAGGAGACTGTCAGGTGACATTCTCCTCCCTTGACTTGGCAGAGGGCAGCTCGCTTTGGAGAGCAACTACTGAGGGACCTGCAGTCAGGCCAGTGTGAACGGGTAAGTAGGTGACCAAAGGCCTAAAACTTTATTCTTGCTTCTCTCTATACCTCTTAGAGCAGTGAGTTTTCCTCCTAAGCCTCCCTGTTGTCCTCCACCCACCCTCTCACCACTAGATGGAAACTGGACTTAAGGCCATTTGTATTGCTTTTCTGTTCAGCCCAGGGGAGGTTACATCTAAAATATGCTCTTAAGGGGCTCACCGCTGCCACTGTTGTGTGCTGCCCAGTTGATTGTCATTCATAGCAACCTCATGTGATAGAGCAGACCTGCCACATAGGATTTTCTAGGTTGTAATCTTTATAGAAGCAGATCTTTCTCATAGGATCCATCTGACATCACCAACAATGTCCCTAAATGTCTTCTAAATCCCACTTGAACTTCTGGCAATTCCTTTCTATGTACTGTTCCAGCCATATCTGAATGATCTTCAGCAGTATTTTTCTTGCATGTGATATCAATTATATTGTTCAATATTTTCCACATTCCATTGGATCACCCTTTTTTGGGAATAGGAACAAATACGGATCTCTTCCAATCTTTTGGCCAGACAGCCATCCTCCAAATTTCCTAGCATAGACCTGTGAGTGCAGCCAAGGCGGCATCTCTTAATTGACACAAGTCAATTGGTATCCCAATGATTTCTGGGGCCTTATTTTCTACCAATACTTTCAATGCAGCTTCCACTTCCTCTTTCGTTACCATTGGCTCCTGTTCATATAGTACTTTCTGAAATGTTTCAGTGTCAGCCAATGCTTTCTGGTACAGTGACTCTGTGTATATCCTACATCTTCTTTTGATACTTTCAATATATTGCCCATAGCACCTTTCAATATTGTGACACAAGGCGTAAATTTGTTTTTCAGTTCTTTCAGTTTGAGAAATGCAGAGTGAGAAAAATGGGAATCCCAGAGCACTTGATTATGCTTGTGAGGAATCTATACCTGGATCAGGAGGCTGTTGTGTGAACACTGCATGGTTTGGAATTGGGAAGGGTTGTATTCTATCTCCAATCTATATGCTGAGCAAATTTTCCAAGAAGCTGGACTCTGAGGAGGAATGTGGCATAAGGATTGGAGGGAGACTCATCAATAACCTGCATTATACAGATGACACAACTTTACTTGCTGAAAGTGAGGAAGACTTGAAGCATTTGTTGCAGAAGATCAAGGAATGCAGTCTTCTGTATGGATTGTGTCTCAGTATCAAGAAAACAAAGATTCTTACCACTGGAACAATAGGCTGTATCATGATGGATGGAGGGGAGATTCAAACTGTCAACAGCTTCATCTTGCTTGGATCCACAATTAGCACCCTTGGTACGAGCAGTCAGGAAATGAGGAGATGCATTGCACTGGGAAAATCTGCAGTTAGGGGCCCTTCCAAATTATTGATGTCAGTTTGAGGACTAAGGTGCATCTGATTCAAGCCATAGTCTTTCCAATTACTAGCTATGTATCCAAGACATGGACAATGAATAAGGATGACAGAAAAAGAATTGATGCCTTTGAGCTGTGGTGTTGGAGAAGAGCACTGAACATCCCATTGATAGCTAAGAGAACAAATAGATATGTCTTGGAGAGGGTGCAGCCAGAGTGCTTTTTGGAGACAGGAATGATGAGACTTTGCCTCACATAATTTGGACTTATTGACAGGAGGTGCTATTCCTTGGAAATAGACATGATGTTAGGAAGGGTGGAGGGTCAGCAGAGGAGAGGAAGACCCTCAACCAGGTGGACTGACTGGGTGCAATGAGCTCTTGTGTGTCAGGAAATGTGAGGATGGCACAGGACAGGGTTCAGATAATTTGTTCATAGGGTCGCTTTGAGTCATACTTGATTCGATGGCCCCTAACAACAACAGTTCAAACTGACTGTGGATTCAAGTAAAATTAAATCATTAAGAACTTCAATCTTTTCTCCATCTTTCATGATGTTGCCTACTGGTCCAGTGGTAAGGACGTTTGTTTTCTTGATGTTGAAATGCAATCAAGACAGAACCAGCTCCCAGGCTGACGCTATTCGACTCCTCCCCATAGTAGTGGGGCGGGGGGTACCCAGATAGGTGCCCGAGCGTGCGGGCGGGCGCGACAAGGAGGGCAGAGGAAACAGGATGTAGTAAATCCCACTCCCTATTAAAAAAAAAAGAAATGCAATCAATACGCTGTAGTTATTGATCTTCTGCTACATGTGCTTCAAGTCCTCCTCAGTTTCAGCAAACTTGGTTGTGTTATCTGTGTAAGACAGATGGTTGCTGAGTCTTCCTCCAGTCTTGAGGCCACATTCTTCTTCATTCATTCTAGTTTCTCAACGTCTTTACTCAGAGTGCAGATTGAATGGCTATGGAAAAGGGACAAAACTCTGTGTTGTACTTCTCCTGATTTTAAATCTTGCACTGTTGCTTTATTCTGTTTGGTCAACTGTTTATTGTTCTATGTTTTGCATGAGCAAATCAAGTGTTCTAGGATTCTCATTGTTAACCATAATTTGTAATGATTCACATAGCCAAAGTTTTTGCATAGTCATTGTGGTATTCTTTACTTTCAGCCAAAATCCATTCATGTCACAACCTCTTCTGAATTTAATTTTAATTACTAGCAGTTGCTTGTCAATGCACTGTTCCAGTTATTTTAAAATAATATTCAGCAAGATTTTACTTTCATGATATTGTTCAATGATTTCTACATTCTATTAAATAACTTTTTTTTTAATGGAAGCAGATATTCACTAGAAGGTCAGTTGGCCAGGTAGCTGTCTTCCAAATTTCTTGACATAGACATGTAAGTATGTTCAGGACTGCATCTATTTGTTGAAACATCTCCATTGATATTCTGTTGATTCCTGAGGGCTTCTTTTTGCCAATGCCTTCTGTGCAGCTTAAACTTCGTTAGTCTTGGTTCTTGATAATATACTATTTCTTGAAATATTTCTTTTTGGGACAGTGACTCTGTTTCCGTTCATCTTCCTCCACTTCTTTTTTTCCTCCATCCGTCGTCTTTGATACTTCTTGTATCATTCAAGATTTTACTTGTAGAATCCTTCAGTATTATAAGTCAAGCCTTGAATTTGTTTTTCTGTTCTTTCAGCTTGAGAAATGCTAAGCATGTTCTTCCCTTTTGGTTTTCTAACTCCAGGTCTTTGCATGTTTTGTTATTAGTTAGGTTCACTGTTGTTGTTGTTAAGTGCCATTGATTCATAGTGACCCTATAAACAATGGATCTGAACCTTGTCCTATCCTATGGCATTTCCATCATCTCTGATATACTCGATCCCATTGTTACAGTCACTGTGTCAATTTTGTTGAGGGTCTTCCTTTCTTTCACTGACTCTCCACCTTTCTAAGCATGATGTCCCTTCCAAGAACAATGCCTTCCAAGGAGGATGCCCCTCCTACAACTTGTCCAAAATGAGACAAAGTTTCACCATCCTTGCCTACAAGGAGCACCCTGGTTGCTCTTCTTCCAGGACAGACTTGTCTTCTCCAATACCACAACTCAAAGGCATCAATTTTTATTTTGTCATCCTTATCATTATCCAACTTGTTCAGATATATAGAAAATAAGTGAAAAGGCCATGGCTTGGATCAGGCACACTTTAGTCTTTTAATTTTTATTTATTCCTTGTTGCACATTTTCTTCCCTCTCCCACCCTCAGTCCACTTTGCAATGTGCCTCTTGTTCCGTATTGTTATATATGCACCTTAGTCTTTAAACTGACATTATAGCTCCTTAACAATGCGGAATGTTCCTTGACAGTGCAGCATGTTTCTTTGAGTTCTTGACTGCTTTGCCAAGGATGTTAATTATGGCCCCAAGCAGGATGAATTAATTGACAATCTCATTTTTTCTCCGTCTATCATGAGATTATTTTCTTGATATTGAAATGTAATCTGTATTGAAAGCTGCAATGTTTGATCTTCTGCAGCAATTGTTTCAAGTCATCCTCACTTTCAGCAAACAAGATCATATCAAATGCATAACACAAGTTTTTGGTGAGTCTTCCTCTAATCTGGATACCACACTCTTCTTTATAGAGCCCAGCCTCTCAAATTATTTGCTCAGCACAAAAGAGGAAGACCCAAGATGAGCTGGATTGCTTTGGAGTCAGTGCTTGGAGTCTGTCAGAGATGATGAGATTAGCTCAGGATAGGGCCAGTTTCAGAGCTAATGTACATAGGGTCACTATGAGTTGCAGGCAACTCGATAGCACATAACAACAACAGGTTGAATAGGTATGGAGAAAGGATACAGCCCTGACATACACCTTTCTTGATTTTGAACCACGTCATGTTCCGTTGCTCTGTTTTGACAACAGTTTCTTGGTCTAGGTATAGGTTTCATGTGAACATAAATTGTTCTGGGATTCCCATTCTTCTCAATGTTAGCCATAATTTGTAAGACCAGGAAATAGATCATGTAATGGGTTCCAAGGAAAGCCAAAAAGATGAGTGGGCCTGATTTGACTTCAAGAAGGCTGCATTACCATAAACAAAGGCAGAGTGATTTGCAGGAACTTGCTGTCTACAGGAGAAACAAATTCAGGCTGGGAACTAGGGGATGGGGATCAGGCTGACTGGAATTTAGATGAACCTCAAGCTTGGCTCTTTGTCTTACAGCTGTGGAATGGCACCTTGGGAGTGCTGTGGGCCTGCCCCATGGACAAGTGTGAGTATTATGAGAGCTACTCTTCCTCTTTTCACAAGAACTCAAACCTTAGCAGGGACCACCTCTTGGGGCAGCACACATAATAGACTTGACCTTCCCTGGGCTCAGATAAACCATAGAGACAGTCTTCCTTCATTCAAAAAACATGGACAAGAGCTTGCAGGGATCCAAGAATGGTCAAAAAGCTACAATCCTAAAAAAAAAAAAAAAAAGCTACAATCCTTAAAAGACTAAAGACCTCATCACCTACATTAAGGATGAGCTATTGAAATGGAAGTGCAAAGTGGACATGCCAGTGTTGTGAATCTCTATGGTATAGACTGTACTAGGTAGGGTGAGGGGCTTAGAGAAGGATTTGGGCTGATCTCTGTAGGCTAAATGAAAAGAGTGTCAATGAATTTAAGTGGGTGGGTGCTTTTTTTAGTAACTCTAAGGTGGACAGCATCGCTGGAGAATCGTGGGCAGACCCTTGTTATGAGGATGGCCCTTTGAGCAGAACAGAAGCTTCCTGAGGGGCCTTGGGCCAAATTTTTATTTTAAAAATATTTCTGGGACTCCCATGTGCTAAATGGATTGAGGGCAAAGCACACAGGGCAGGGACACCAGACAGAAGACCTTTGCTGGGGAACTAGCTCTAGGGCCCAGCATAGCTGAAATAGTATGAGCTAACATTTGAGCACTTAGAGTGCCAGGCACTATGTTGTTTACTTATGTGTTAATAATAAAAAGAGGTTCTAATATTACTTCAATTTTAGAGGTGGAAAGGGGCTGACACAAGGTCAGCCACGAAGATGCATTTATATTTTATATCCTGTCTCTGCCATTCCTGTGCATGGACGTTGAACAAGATATTTCACTTCTTTGAGCCTTGGATGTTCTGAGTGAAATGGGCCCAAGTAAGAGGTCTTTAATTTCTTTTTTCACAGACATTCACAAGCGCTGGGTCCTGGTGTGGTTGGCCTGCATGCTTTTTTTTGCCGTTCTGCTTCTCCTTTTCCTTCTCAGAAAGAATCAAGTGAAAGGTGAGCACTCCCTCTGACTCCAATGAGCAAGACCAGAATGGCCTCTGCCTCTCTCCTCTGACACCCTGGTGGCTGTGGCTCTGGAAAGAGTCCCTGGGTGGGGTTGGCATGCCAGTGCCACTGGCCTAGCGCTCTGCACCCTCAGCCAGCTCTCATCACTGTCTTCTTCCCGGTAGTGACCGTGAGGAGCCGCCGAGCTCTGCTGCTTTACTCTGCGGACGACCGGGCCTTTGAGCGCCTGGTGGGCGCCCTGGCCTCTGCACTGTGCCAGCTGCCACTGCGCGTGGCCGTGGACCTGTGGAGCCGCCAGGACCTGAGCGCGCAGGGTCCTCTAGCCTGGTTCCACGCGCAGCGCCGCCTGACCTTGCAGGAGCGTGGCGTGGTGATCTTGCTCTTCTCGCCCGGGGCCGTGGCGCGGTGCCGCGAGTGGCTGCAGGCGGGTGCGCCCGCCGGGCGGCGCCCTTCGCACGACGCCTTCACCGCCGGGCTCAGCTGCATGCTGCCGGACTTCCTGCAGGGTCGCGCGACTGGCCGCTACGTCGGGGCCTGCTTTGACCGGCTGCTGCCCCCGGACACAGTGCCCGCCCTCTTCCACACTGTGCCGGTCTTCTCGCTGCCCGCGCAGTTGCCCGACTTCCTCGAGGCCCTGCAGGGCCCCGGCGTCCCCCGGCCGGGATCGCTCCGGGACAGGGCAGAGCACGTGGCCCGGGCCCTTCAGCCGGCCCTGGACGGCTGCTTTCGGGCCCCGGGATGTAGTATGGCGCCGGGGCAGGACTCAATTTAATAAAAGGAAGCGCTATTTTTCTATTCGTGGCTCCCACGTGTGTCTCCACTTTTGCAGACGACCAGCATCATCCCTTCCCCCAGGCCCTTTAAAGGCCAGGACAGGTGCACCTCGGCACTGTCTCTGGTTGGCTAGGGCGAAATGACGCAATGGCACCTGGCCCAGGATCATTGGCTGGCGCGTTGGCTCCGCCTCTCCGGGGCAGCGCCCGCGGAGACTGTCTACGCAAGCGGCGGCGACGGCGGCGACGTTAAGGAGGCCCAAGACCGGCGCCCGCGGGCCGGGCTTGCTGGGCGGTGTCTCTACCTCCTCTCCAACTGTGTCGACAGGGTCCAGACCCTTCTCTACCCGGCCTTACCACCTGCGAGGCCCTGAACCTGCCCCTGCTTCTCCTATCCGGACCCCCCTACTGCTTCGGCCCTGCACAGCCAGGATTTAGGCTCCAAAACTACGTGCTGAATCTTTGTCCCTAGTGCCAAAGTCCAGATCACCCTAGGGTAGCGCAGAAAACTGCAGATTCCATTCCTTTATCCCTGAACGCAAATCTTGGCGCCCAGCACCTAAGAATTGACCCTTTCCTTGCTTTGGAGGCCCAGCCCTACAGTAAGCCTCACGCCCTCTGTCCACAGATTGCCCCGTCAGAGAAAAGATGGCCCTGAGGGTCGTATTACCAGTTCTGCTCCTCCGGGGCCTGAGTTTAGGCCTCTTCCTCAGTCTTCTAAAACCAGTCTGGCCCCAGCCGTCTCCACCTCCCCAGGTTTCTCCCCCGCCTGAGCCCCATCCCTGCCATACTTGCCGTGGGCTAGTCGACAGTTTCTACAAGGTGGGTATACCAGCAGCATCTTGGGAAGGGGTCAAGCTTCTGCAGCGCAGTAGCTGGCAGTGGGGAGTGCTGTCACGTGAATTTGCATGGGCTCAACCCAGCGGGGCTGCTTCTCTGCAGTAGATCCTTCAGCAGGTTACTTCCTTGTGCCTCAGTGGGTCAGGTAAATAGTGATAATAAAATGGTAAAAGTCCACGGTGTGCCTGCAGTGTACTCAGGCATTACTCCTTCTCTGTGTCTCCAGGGCCTAGAGAGGACTATTCGAGACAACTTTGGAGGCGGAAACACAGCATGGGAGGAAGAGAAGTTGTCCAAATACAAAGATAGGTAAGGAGCCGGGGCAGGGCAAAGGAGTCCTACACCTCATCTCTCTCTCCCCAGGCTGCTCTGTTGCCTAGAGAGTCTTGGTAAGCACTTACTTATTCAACTAGTATTTTCTGAGAAAAGTATAACAATGAGCAAGGTAAACTAAAACCCATTTTCATGGATCTTACATTCAGATAGAAGATACATTGAATAAATAATGTACCAGAAGAAAAGCAGTCAAGTGGGGTAAGGAACTATAAGACTATGGGGAAGTATGATGTTTTAGCTAAGAGTGTTCAAGGGAGGGCCCATCTGAGATGGTGTGGCATTTGAACAGAAGCCCGATATGAAGAAGCGGGGTATGTCAGGGAAGGGATTGGTGCAGGTGCTAGAATTGAACTTAGTATATTCCAGGAGGAGCTGGCATAGATTGAGCAAAAGGAAGAAGGCAGGAGCCCCATGCCAGAGCAGGTTCACCTGAAGGCTATAGAAAGGAGTGTAGATTTTGTCCCTTGTGTGAAGCTGTGTTTTTAAAAGGCTTTTCAGAGTGCTATGTGGTCAACAAACCATAGTTAAGCTAAAGTTAAAGGAGGAGAAAACAACATGTTGTGACGCAATTTCATATTCTAGGCATGAAGACAGGAAGAGTTAGAGTGGTCACTAATGATGGGCATTGTGAGAGTCAAATGCTGGGTGTCTTCCAGATAGAGCCAATATGACTTGACTGATTCATCATGGAATGTGAGAAAATAAGCAGAATAAAAGAGTCTACTAGATTTTTGGATCTCAGCAACTGGGTAAATAGTAGGATTGTTTCCTGAGATAAAGCTGGAGAAGGAAATGGGTCAGTGTCAGGACTTCTCTTTGAACATGTTGGTCTGAGATATCTACTACATATCTAAATGGAGGTAGAGTTAGAAATCTTGAGTTCAGAAGAGGAGAATGGGAAGAGGAACTTGAGGTCATCAGTACATAGTGTTTAAATGTCATAGGGCAGGATGAGTTTATATAGGAAATGTTGAGAAGAGGCCCAGGCCCTTTCCAGCTTTTTGAAGTTCATTTGAAATAAGGAGTTGGTAAAGAGCTGGAGTTACACAGACCTGGTTACTGTTCTGATCCACTTGCTTTCTGACCTAGGCTGGGTCACTTAACTTTTTTGAGTTCTTTTACCTGTAAAATGCGTAATAGGTGCTCTGTCTGTTTCAAAGAATTGTGGTCAAGTTTAACCCACTAGATTCAAGTGATACCCACTAGAAAGGAAAGATTTTGTTATTCTGGGACATTAGTGATATTTTCTTTCCTCTCAGTGAATATCAGTTTCCTTGTTTGGGAATTGAGACCAAGAAAATCTTCAACTCTCTTAACAGCTTTTATTTCCTTTGAATCATTTTCCTCCTATAGATATATAAGCACTATGCCAAACACTTAAATATATAGTGATATAGTGATGTAAGAGATACTAATTATACATAGCATAAAATTTGCCATTAGTCACATTTAATATGTTCACAATGTTTTGCAACTATCATTACTGAATTTTTTCTTTACCCCAACAGGAAAGCTCAGACCCACTAAACCATCATTCTCCATCTCCCTAGTAACCATCAATCTGATTCCTATTTCTATGGATTTGCAATCTGGTATTTAACCATGTAATGGATAGCCTTTGTGTCTGGCTGCTTTTGCTGGTGGCATAGTGGGTTATGTTTGGGCTACTAACCAAAAGACTGATGCTTCAAATCTACCAGCTGCTCTACTGGGAAAAGATGAAGCAGTCTGCTCTTCTTAAGATTTACTGCATTAGAAACCCAATGGCAGGTCAGAATTTGAGTCAGAATTTATATGTAGGAAGTAGGGTTTTTTGTTTTCTTTCTCTTAGTATCTTATATTTAAGATTCATCTGCACAGTAGCATGAATCAGAACTTCATTCCTTTTGGTAGCTGATTTGTATTCAATTGAATGGCTCTGTCATGTTTTGTTTATCCACAGTTAGATGGCTACAGTACTTGTACATTTTCTCTGCCGTGACTAGTCCTGCTATGAACATTCATGTATAAGTTTTTGTGTGAACACCAGCTTTTGTTTCTTTTGGGTGTGTACCCAAGTGTGGAATTATTGGGGCCTATGGTGTTTTATTTATCTAATGCTGTTAGAACAGTAATACTATGAGTAGTTGACTTAAATATATCCCCTCACCATCATGAGGCTGGAATGTCAAATTCAGGGCATCAATCTAGGGGAAAGCCCTGTCTCTGTGGGCTTTAGGGGAAGGCCCTTGTCTCCTTCAACATCGGGGCTCAGTGTTCTTTGGAGAGCTGCATGTCTTGACATCAGCCTTCTCCTGGGTCTTAGAACTTAATTCAGGGTGCCCAGGTCCAAAGGATGTGCTATGCACTGAGCTTTTCTTACCTGGTGGTCAACCCTGCCCAGGCAAGGGGGCTGGAGATGGGAATGTGAGCTGATCTTTGCTCACTTGTGTAATCTCTTTTATATTAGAAGAGATTGACTCAAGACATTACCCAAGTCAGTAGAAAGCTTCCCACCTCATTAATATCTTGGGGGTTAGGATTTACAGCACTGGAAAGACTGCATGAGGTCACATGTGATAACTCCATGTTTAATGATTTGAAGAGCTGCCAAACTGTTTTCCACAGTAGATGCACTATTTCATATTCCCACCCACAAGGCACAAGCGCTCTAGTTTCTCTCCATGCTTACCAGCACATGATGATGATGTTTTTCACATGATTTTTTTTGTAGGTGAAATAGTGAAGATAAATTTATTAAAGTTACATCTCCAAAGGGACAGACCTCCCTCCTTGAAAGGAAATAGAGAGGCTACTTGATGTATTTTTAATTATATATACCCAGTAAGGTATTATAATTCATTGTACATAAGTAAGAGAGTTCTGGTGACCTACTGGTAAGAAGCTTTGGTACAATCCAAAAGGCATACAATTCTTTTTTTTTTTTAATTTAGGTTGTTTATTTTTCATTTCAATGAACATCTACAGAGATTTTGGGATTCCATTCATTCATTGTTGCACCCTTCTTCCCACACAAACCCCTCCCCCCTCCCCCCCCCTTTTGCTCCTCTCCTTGAAAAGCAAAAGAAAAACTCCCTCATTGGTACACAATCCCCCCTGCACCTCCCCAAACCCCACCCCTACCCCCAAATATAATCCACTCTGCAACCCTCATTGCATACTCCTACGATAAAAATAATGCCCTAAAATATAATACTTTTAGACTATTCTCTCCCCCATAGACTTCAATGCCGTAAACATATTTCATCCAGTTTTTCTCAGTCTTACCCCCACCCCAATGCCAGCCTCATTCTACAACAGTGGTACCATGTAGCATTTGTCCCTTTGTGACTGAGATACCTCACTCAGCATAATGTCCTCCAGGGTCACCCATTTTGAATAATATTGCATGAGTTCCTTGTTTTTCAATGCAGCATAGTATTCCATTGTGTGAATATACCACAGCTTCTCTACCCATTCGTTTGTTGATGGGCATTTAGGTTGTTTCCAACTCCTTGCTATTGTAAACAAAGCCGCGATAAACATGGGTATACATATATCTACTTGGATGTCATTTATGGTCTCTTTAGGGTATATTCCCAGTAGTGGAATTGCTGGGTCAAATGGTATCTTTATTTGCAACTTTTTGAGAAAGCTCCACAATGCTTTCCACAGTGGTTGCACCATTTTACACTCCCACCAATAGTGAATAAGGGTTCCAGTCTCTCTACAACCTCGCCAGCATTTGTTGCTTGCTGTTCTGTTAAATTTTGCTAGTCTTACTGGAGTGAGATGATATCTCATGGTTGTCTTGATTTGCATCTCTCTCAGGGCTAGGGATTTTGAACATTTCTTCATGTGCTTGTTGGCCATCTGAATGTCTTCCTTGGTGAAGTGTCTGTTCATATCCTGTGCCCATTTTTCAATTGGATTATTCTCCTTTATCTTGTTGTGGTGCTCGAGTATTTTATAAATTCTAGATATAAGTCCCTTGTCTGACATGTCATTACCAAAAACTTTTTCCCAGTCTGTGGCTTCCCTTTTTACCCTGTTAGAGAAGTTTCTGGATGCGCATAGGGATTTGATTCTTAGAAGGTCCCATTCATCTATTTTATCTTCTCCTGGTTGTAAATTTTTCAGAATACTGGGAAGACTCTTTATGTTGTGGATTAGGACTACTAAAGTTTTTCCAAGCTTTTCTTGAATGAAGTTTACAGTCCTTGGTTTTAGTCCTAGGTCCATGATCCACCTTGAGTTGGTTTTTGTATATGGAGTGAGGTGGGGATCTTGTTTAATTCTTCTGCAGATAGTTTTCCAATTTTGCCAACACCGTTTGTTAAAAAGGCTGTCATTTCCCCACCTAACTGATTTCATCTCTTTGTCAAAAATCAATTGCCCATAAATAGATGGGCTGATTTTCGGGTTCTCAATTCTATTCCATTGATCTATGTGTCTGTCATTGTACCAGTACCATGCTGTCTTGACTACCACGGCAGTGTAGTAGGATTTTAAGTCAGGGAGTGAGATGCCTCCTACCGTTTTTCTATTTTTAGGAGTGCTTTGCTTATTCGTGGCTTCTTTCCATTCCAAATGAAGCTGGAGATTGCCTTTTCCATCTCATTGAAGAATGAAATTGGTATTTGTATTGGGATTGCATTGAACGTGTATATTGCCTTTGGTAGTATTGCCATTTTCACAACATTAAGCCTTCCTATCCATGAGCAGAAAATATTTTTCCACTTCTCTAGGCTTTTTTTTTGTTTCTTGTAATAATGTTTTGTAATTTTCTTTGAATAGATCTTTTGTGCTTCTAGTTATATTTACTCCCAAATATTTAATCTTGTGATTAGCTATTGTGAAGGGTATTGCTTTTCTTAGCTCCAGCTCTGTATTTTCTCAAGGCATACAATTCTAATCCATCAGCTACTACATGGGAGAAGGATGGGTAGTCTTCTCCTGTGTGATTCACAGCTTCTGAAAACTTGGTAGATGATCAGCTGTGAGTCAGTTATTGCACACAACAATGAACAATGTACAGATGTAGAGAATTTAAGCATCTTGTAACAAACCTATAGAGGTGATATTGTCCTCCTTTACAAATGAGGAAACAGAGGTTAAGTGACTCTCCTAAAGTGACAGAACTAGATTCGAACTCTGATCTCTTCTCTGGGCACAAGGAGTGGAAGAAGATGGCCAGGAAGGGTGGGGGCAGAGTGGAGCATGCTTTCCCCAACATGTCTTGTCCGGTCAGTGAGACCCGCCTGGTGGAGGTGCTGGAGGGTGTATGCAGCAAGTCAGACTTTGAGTGTCACCGGCTGCTGGAGCTGAGTGAGGAGCTGGTGGAGTCCTGGTGGTTTCACAGGTAAATAGTGTGTGGGAAAGAGGCTTCCCCCTGAGGGAGCCACAGGCTGGCCAGGGTAGTGACACACTCTAGGGAGTGTGTGCAGGTTTACTTTCCTTTTCCAAACCCAAATCTACTGAAGCCTGGCGAGGGAACCCAAGCTCCCCTTCTGAGCCTCAAGTTTACCCCTCTGCCACAAAGTCTGGTGGCCTTAAGGATCTTGCATGCATGATGGGTTGTGTCACAAACACATGGGAGGCTAGGAGTCAGGGTCAGAGGGCATGGACAGCAGCCTGACCCTCCCTCTCCGCTGCCCCTTTTTTTGTCCCTTCCTCAGGCAGCAGGAGGCCCCAGACCTCTTCCAGTGGCTCTGCTCAGATTCCCTGAAACTCTGCTGCCCTGCAGGCACCTTTGGTCCCTCCTGCCTGGGTGAGTCTCAAGTTCCTCCTGTGGATGGGACGTCTGGGAAGGGTCAGCCAGGGCTATGGACTTAGTCCTGATTCTCTAGAAGGTTGTCTGATCTCAGGAGCTTAGATATCCTCCCTGGACTGTTTTTGCTTGCCTCAGGTTGGTTATCGCCTGCAGTTCAGTGAGGGAGGCGGGACATTGAAACAAAGGTATGGCTGGATTGCGTCAGATGTGGCTATGCGTCTGACCATTCGTTACAGAAAATGCTGACCCCTGGCCTCTCATTTTCAGTGCTTAGATGGGCCAAGCCCTGTCCCCTGGCTGCCTTCCCAGGGAAGAGCATATAACCCCCTTGATATCTTGCCTACAGCTTGTCCTGGGGGTGCAGAGAAGCCCTGCGGAGGCTATGGGCAGTGTGAAGGGGAAGGGACCCGAGGGGGCAGCGGGCGCTGCACCTGCCAAGCTGGTTACGGGGGTGAAGCATGTGGCCAGTGTGGCCTTGGCTACTTTGAGGCAGAGCGCAACTCCAGCCATCTGGTATGTTCGGGTAGGTAGCCACGGGTATGGTACTGGGGAGGGGCAAGGGTAGTATCCACTTGCCCTTCCTCATCCTCCCCCCCATTCCACCAGCTTGCTTTGGCCCATGTGCTCGCTGCTCAGGACCTGAGGAATCTCACTGTTTGCAGTGCCGAAAGGGCTGGGCCCTGCATCACCTCAAGTGTGTAGGTGAGTGGGCTTCTCAACACACATATCTGTGCCTGGGCTCAAGTGGCACTCTCCCCACCTTCATCCCCGCATTCGTCTTGGGAGGAAGCCAGAAAGGTAGGTAGGAGTTTCCAGTACAGACTAGTCTGCGGGCAGTGAGAGAAGTACCAGGTCCACCTTCAGTGGGAGAACTGGTGGGGACTCAGGAAAGGCTTCTTGGAAGAAGTGTCAGTGTGCCAAGTTTTGACAATTGAGATAGGGTGAAGCCAGGGAAATGAGGTTACTGAATTTGGGGTTCAAGACTTGGTTTTCTTGGCTCATGCAGTCTAAGGTAGAAGGCTAAGTTGGTGTAACAAACTATTATAGCTTAAAGAATATAGGTTTCATTTTTTTTTCCTCATGTCACAGTCACAGCATGAGTGGTCCAGGCTATCAAAGAAGGAAGTTCTATTTACCACAGTCCCTCCGAGATTTAGGTTCCCCCTTACTGGTCAGCCATCTTCTTGCTGCATGTTTGAGGCTGGTCATGGGCTCCTCCAAGTCCCGTATTCTCAGGAAGTGAGGAGGGGAAGAAAATGGGGAGAAGTCCGAGTCTGTTGTTTTAAAGCCAAGCTAAAATGTATCACTTCTGTTTGTACTCTTAAGGCCATCAATCGGTCTTCCCTGACTACATTTAGCTGCAAGGAAGGCTGGGAAATGGAGTCTTACACAGCCTTGAGACCAGTACCAGTGCTGCTTGGTTATTGGGTTTTGCTTCCTCTGTCAATACCATTCAGTTCTGGGCAAGTGCATTCCCTCCCTTCCCTGGCCTCAGCTTTGCTGTAATGTAAGAACTGAAGTCTCCCCTTTGTCCTGCCTGCCTCTTACAGACATTGACGAGTGTGGCACAGAGCGAGCCAGCTGTGGAGCTAACCAATTCTGTGTGAACTCGGAGGGCGCCTACGAGTGCCGAGGTCAGTGTCCATTCTGTAGAGGGCATATGAAGAGATTAGGGGCCCTCGTCCATGCCTGTCCTGCCACCACCCCCTGAGGCCTTACTTGGAGAGCACAGCTCTCTTGGGCCCAAGATGGCTCTCATTCTTATCTCTCTTGCCCCCCTCAGATTGTGCCAAGGCTTGCCTGGGTTGTATGGGAGCAGGCCCTGGCCGCTGTAAGAAGTGCAGCCCCGGCTACCAGCAGGTGGGCTCCAAGTGTCTCGGTAAGTCTCGCCCTTCTTTCATCCTCCAGGTTGAGAGGGGACTGGGAAGTAGGGAAGGAGGAGGGCAGTGTCAGGATGAAATAGAGATGGAGTCAGGGTGCTCAGGATTCTTACTGCTACTCTCTCTCCCTCGAGATGTGGATGAATGTGAGACAGAAGTCTGTCCAGGAGCAAATGAGCAGTGTGAGAACACAGAGGGCAGTTATCGCTGTGTCTGTGCCGAGGGCTACAAACATCAGGAGGGCATTTGCGTGAAGGAGCTGGTCCCAGGTGAGCCTAACATGGTCTCCAGAGACCTTCCAGGGAAGGCAAGGCCTCATCTGGGAGAGAGCAGGCAAACTCCTTCCCCAGATAGTTCCAGGCCCTGCCTGTCTCCCACGTTTACCCCTGTGTCAGAGATTATACAGAGAACCAGGACCTCTAGCTGATCTTGCAGCTGGTTTCTAGTGTACTTACATCCCAGGGTAGAAAGAACTTGCTGCTTTCCCAAGCCTGTTTCCTCATCTGCCAGTGGAACTAATTTTTGCCCTGGTTCTGCCTGCTGAGAGCTGCTATAGGCAGTAGACTGTGGTAAGACAAATAAGGATTACAGTGACAACTTTTTATTTCTTCCTGTGTGTCTCAAGCACTTGTTAAAATTTATTTCATGATCCTTCAAACTACTTGGTTTTTTGTTTCCCTCAGGCCACCTGATAGTAATTATTCTTATCCCCATTGTACATCTTAGAAAACTAAGATGTGAAGAGGTAAAGCACCTCGTCCAGGCCACAGAGGGAGCAGATTGCAGGCTGGGCTTCCCACTGGATGGCGTGGGGCAGATCTCTTCAGTTCTCTGAGCCTGGTTCCTATTTATCAAAGCAGTGACTGTCCTCCAGAGTTATTCTGAGCAGGAAGCAATGTGCACATCCCCTGTATGCTGGGCAAGCATGGCAGCTGTGACAGACAGGTGTGGGAGGCCCTGGGATGTTTCAGAACTCTGGAAAGGGCAGGAGTGACAAGTGGTAGCTTCTGTCCCTCTGCAGAGCCAGCAGGCTTCTTCTCAGAGATGACGGAGGATGAGTTAGTGGTGCTGCAGCAGATGTTCTTTGGTGTCATCATCTGTGCACTGGCTACGCTGGCCGCCAAGGGTGACTTGGTCTTCACTGCCATCTTCATCGGTGCCGTGGCTGCCATGACTGGCTACTGGTTGTCTGAGCGCAGTGACCGAGTGTTGGAGGGCTTCATCAAGGGCAGATAGTCTCTTCTGCCACCTGCAGAATCTTGCTACCTGGGCTACCCCAGGCATCAGGCCTCTTCCCCCCTTAAACACGAGAAGCCGCTTGGTTTCTTTTTGAGAATGAAATTAGCACCCTCTGCCCACCTATGGGGCAGCCCAGATGCCAGGCCTGGGCAGGAGAGGCCCCAGGATGAAAAAGTAGCCTGAAGGTGGGTGCTAGGAGATCGCATCCTACAGGGCTGGACTGACTTCATGGGGGTGTGAGTTTTTAAGGAGTTTCTCCTTAAAGTGGCCAAGAGTGAGCTTTGACTCCTGCCCAGGATGGAGGGTAGAATCTAGGCAGGGTTGGGGTCATGGTAGCCCCTCCTGCCCACTGCATGCTGCCTGCTCATGTCCCTTCCCCCCTCCTTTAGCCATTGAACTATTTATTCATCTCAGGAAATAAACAAAGGTCTTGGAAAATGGAGACGTTGAAGCATTGCTGCCTGCTACCCACTCCCCCACAGCCATTCCACCATTTCCCAGGACTTTGGCCTTCTAAATATCTAGAAAGATGAGGGAGAATGGAGGAAAGGCTCAGCTCTGAATCAGTGTTAGGAGATGGAGAAAGGAAGAACTAGGCTTAGGAAGAGAGTTTGCTGGATTCAGTAGCAGCTTTGCTATTTGCTGAAGGATCCTGAACAAAGGGCTTTCTCTGCCGAGGCAACTCTTCTCATCTACAGAATGGGCATGGTGATGCTTTCCATTCAATCTGATTGATTATGAATGTGCAGCATCAGAGCCAGTGTACAAGAGCTGATCAGTGAGGCTGATGGCCTTGAAGGGACCCCATGCCCTTTCCTGTGGAAGTTGGCCTAGGCAAGCTGGCCTTGTTGGGAATAGGGGTGTCCCTTTCCTGCTGGGTGTGTGTGTGTTTCTGATTGTGCTAGAGGCAGGTGTGAGCCAAGCCCCAAGGGTTTATTTCTTTGGCACAAAGAGCAGTCCCACCCAACAAGCAAGCCACATCTATCCACCTTGGGGACACTGGGGGGGGTGCTTGGTTCCCATATCCCAAGTCCATGCACATTCATCCTGTATCCCGCCCAAATGCGGCCTTTGTGCAAAATACATATTTTGTGCTGAAAAACAAAAGACCCACCACCAACAAAACCCTGGGTGGGGCAGGTTGACTCCTGGCTTTCTCAGTAGCTTCAGTCAGTGGGGCATGGTCCAGGAGGCTGTTTTCCAAACACGTCATTGTCCGTGGGCCACATGGTCCCACCTCTGGGAACAGGATCCCATCCCGCTGCCAGTGTGCCCTCAGAGCTCGATGGTGTCACTGGAGGCACTGCGGGAGTCCCCGGGTTTGCGGGGCTGGGCCTCGCCCTGAGCCTCCACAGGTCTACCAGGGGCAGAGGCCTGGGCAGAAGACGGAGCAGGCAGCAGCTGTACCGTGCTGGGCAGCTCGTCCAGTGGCAGGCTGTCCACCGACGAAAGGCCGTGGCGCCACGGGTTCCAGCTGATCTTGAGCGAGCCCCGCGACATGCTGTCTAGGGAGCTGCCTGACACCACCGCCTGGTCGATCTCGTCCATCACGTGCTGTGGGACCGGCCCACGCACACGCACGTCACTGAGCGAGCGGCAGCGGCCACGCAGGAGCGAAGAGCTGCCCCTGTCCAGCTCGCTGTCGGGGTGGCTGCCCCGGCGCAGCCACGGAGCACCCTCGGGCTGCGAGAGCGGGCCACGAAGCCCGCACCTCTGGAACACGCTGTCCCGTACCAGATGCTCGCGGAAGAGCGCTGCGTCGATGCTTCTGCTCAGATTAATGGGTGATGGTGGCCGGATGTCCAGTTCACTCAGTGATGGTGTCACGCTGTTGCGGGACAGGACCGGAACACCCTGGGTACCCTGGCCTAGAGATGCCGCAGAGCCCCAGGCTCCAGAATGGGGTGTGACAGGCAGCCTGCCTTCCGCAGGGTTTCGAATGAGACTCTTGCTGATGTCCAAGCTGCCTGCACCCACGCCACTGGGTCCTGCATAGCAGTTGTTTGGTGTCTCGGGCACTTCGCTCTTGCCTGATGGCGCAGGACATGCCAGGCGTAGCAGTTTCGCCCAACAAGCGTGCTCTGTGGGTGGCCTAGGCCTCGCAGCAGCCACAGCCGCCAGGGCCAGGGCCAGAGCCCAAGTCAGCTCCAGCAGGCGCAACCAGAAGTGAACACCCCACCAGGCCCATGAAAAGCGTCCCACTCGGCCTGGGCTTGGGTACAGCCACAGCGCAGCTGCCAATTGCAGTCCACTGGCCAGCAACCCCAGTGCACCCGCCACAGCCAGCAGTCGTGGTCCGGGGCTGGTATCCCAGCCATGGGGCCTCTCCAACAGGCGGCGCCTGCACAGACAGAGGGTGCCCAGAGCCACTGCTGCACCCCAGGCGCACGATAAGCCTTGTAGTAGGAAGTTGAGCACAGGTATAGGGGACAGAAGGTCAGCAGCCAGCAGCCCAACGCCATGCACCGACGCTAACACGCCCAGCAGAAGGGGGTTTTGCAGCGGTGGTGGCAGCCCCGCACCCAGGCCGAGAAGGGTCAGGGCCGCTAGCGCAGTGACCAACAAGGGGTACGGCAAGTTGTAGAGCATCAGGCCTGCCCGCACACCCAGCCGTGCCTGAGAACCATAAGGGTCAGTGAGCATGTAGACTGATCTGAGAATTGAAGCCACTAGCACCAGTACTGAAGCCACCAGTGCCAGACGAGGCTCTGCTGGGGCGGCTACCAGTGTGGCTAGTGCCAACAACACTGGCACCAGGAAAAGCGTCCCCACCCCATAGACGTGCAGTTCCCAGGAAAAGCTCAGTACCCGCCGCAGGGGTCCCCAGAGCAGGGGAGGCGCAGTGACGTTGGCTGGAGGACTGGAGGCCAGGGCTGGTGCAATAGAGCTACCGGAGGGCTCTGGTGGGAGAGGCTGAGCCAGGGCTCGCTGAGTTGTGACTCGAATGAGACCCCTGCGGGAAGTTGAGGGAGCCTGCACAGGGGGTGCTGGAGGATGGCTTTGGGGGCGGCCGGGCCACTCCTCAACTTCATCTGAAATAATAACAGAACATCTCTTTAAAACATGGTTTTGATTTCTTATAATTTTCTAGTGTGATGAGCAGGTAACTATAAACATATTTGTAAAATAGGGCTGATGACCCTACCTTCCTCATTGCATGGGGAGAATTCAATGTTTAATAGTGCCCAACAGGTGCTGAATGGATGCAAGGCATCGTTGTATTAACAATACTTACTGCAGCAGTTCTCACCATGACTGCATATCACAATCACCTGACACAAGCCGAATCAGAACCTCCTGGGATGGGGCCAGGGCATTGGATCTTTTTACACTCCAGAGCATGAAAAACACTCAAGTTACATAAAAGAACATTCTAGCTGCCAAAACACAAACGGTACATCGCAAAGCATCTAGTAATGATTTATTATGCTAACCAGTTTGTTCCCATTTATCCCTCCCTGCCCACATAGTAGATGCCTCTTGCAGGCTTTTCCACATTGGACAGAGTCCTCTCTCCCTAAAACCACAGCCATGCTCTCACCTGGCTGCAGAGCTCCCACGGGGCTCTCTGTTAGATTTCTAGCCATGCCAGGGTCTGAGAGGCCAGGAATTGGGGACTTGGAAGAGCCTGGAACCTCCATTGCCCCTCTCACTTGCTGAGGAGAGATAGGGTCTGCTCCATTCATTGCTGCTATCTCTGGAATGACAAAGCAGTAACCACTTTGCCTGGCCCTCTCTCATGTCCCAGTGTCACCTCATTTGTCAGAATGAGGAAAATGAGACTGAGCAGGACCAAAGTTTACACAGAAACTGGGATACCCAGCTGCCACACAACACTGCCCACTCCCAGCCCTACCCCTATTTCCTCTTGATACTTACCTGGCTCGGGGTGTCTATCAGGAGCCTCTAAAGACGGAGGACCCGGGAGCTGGAGTCCTGGGGAGCCTTTTGCGTCAGAGAGGTCAGTCTCTGTGAGCGGAGGTGCTGGAAAGCCAATGTTCTGGTTGCCCCCAACCTTCTTGGGGAGTTCAACCTGCAGCTCCTCAGCAGTAGGAAGGCTTCTGGCCAATCCTAAATCTGGTTGGGCCTCAGGACCCTGAGAGGATGTCCCTTCAACTGAGGACATGGAGTCAACATTAGGGGCTGCAAGTTCCTGCTGGGTGAAGGTTGGGCCTCCAACTGCCTTTTCCACATCTTCCTCATCCTCACCCAGTTTGGGCAGAATTGGTCCCCGGCTAGTGTCTGAGTGGGTCCTGAGAGTTCGGGAAGGGCCCTGGTTGTTCGAGGACAAAGTCTCTGCAAAGGTGATGTTGGTCTTGGTTGTCAGAGCTCCGTCTCTAGGTGGTTGCTGCCCTGCCTGGCCTGCAGGCTCCTCTGGGGAAGCTGGGACTGAGGCTACCCCAGGCTGGTGTCTGGGAGTTGTGGGAAGAAAAGTCAGATGAGGAGACTCCAGTGGATGAGGGGACAGTGCTTCTTGCTCCAGAGGCTCCTGGGGGTCAAGGGGCCCTGTCCATCCCTGAGAGCCAAGCCCACGAGGAGTCTGGAGGTCATAAGGGACTGGGAGAGCTTCTCTCTGAACTTCTTGAGCTGCTGTTGGCCCATGCAGTGCTGGACCATAGGGAGTGTCAGCAAATTTTTTAGGCTTCTCCTTTGAAGGGCCCTGGGGAGCACCAAAGTTCCAGGGGTTCTCATCTTTGGGGTTCTCCCAAAGGACATTAAGGGCCTGGGACTTTGTACCCATTGTGCCTGTGGGCTGAGCTGGAACCAGGTGTGGTTTGGAGGCCTCAAGAGGCCTGGGAAAGCCCCTGTCCAGGGCTGGGCCAGCCCCTAGGGATGGCAGCACCAACAGCAGCAGAAGGCCACATGCCAGGAAGGTCATGGTCCACACCACTGTCTGGGCCTAGAGATCTCAATGGATGAGCCTAAAACAAAACAAAACAAAAAAACCAACACAACCCCACAACCAAAAACACACACAGAAAAAGGACAGGATGTAAGGGGTTAGGGGTTCCCGTATCTATCTGAAAGGGGTAAGTGGAAAGGAAAAGACTGAAATGAGGCAGTTGATTCTCTGTGGCCCTGCTGTCTTCCTTCCTACTCAACCTCTCCATCCACCCAGATAGACTTTTTTAAAAATGTCTCTCTTGTCACGTCACTTGTCCTGCTTCAAACCTTCAAAGGCACTACCTTGTCCTTGGGAGAGAACATTAATCCTTATCCTCACCTTCCAAGGCCACTCCAGGCTTCTCACCTGCCCTCTCTTTAGGACTATTTGGTGCCACAGGCCTCTGCTCCTACTGTCCCCTCAACCTGGAGGCCCTGTCCTTTCTCCTTCATTTGAAATCCTATTTTTGAAGGCTCAGCTCCAACATTAGTAAGGTGCAAAAGGGCAGGCACATGCTCCTGAATTCAAAGAGAGCTCTGGGCTTGAATCCCAGCATTACCTGGTGAATTGCCTCTCTTGTATTGCAGTTTTCCCATCTGTAAGGTTGGAAAAACTCCTGTAAGACTCTTAAGATTTAAATGTTAAGACATAGACAAGAGGCTAATTTACAAAGGGCATACCAGGAAGGCCTCTCTGAAATGATATTTAAATGTAGAATAAGAAGGAACCATCCATTTGAAGATGTGAGATATGGCAGACAGTAGCAAGTGCAAAGGCTGTGATGAGCAAAAGCAGTGATGAGCTGGATGAGTTAAAAAAATTAAGAAAGCCAATGTTACTGAGGCACAGCAACTGGACAAAATAGGAAAGGGAGATGAAATCAGTAAGGAGGCCAGGGGCTAGATCACTAGTAGTCTTATAGGCTCCATTAATGTACTCATACTTTATTCTAAGTGCCACAGGGAGCCATTGGTAAGCAGTGACAAAATATGATTATAATTAGTGTTTTTAGAAAGGGAAATGGGGAGAGCTCTGGTGGCAAGAAGGTGAGCTGCAATCCTGAAGGCAGGATTTAGATTCTGGTGAATTCAGATCCACCAGATGCTCTGCTAGAGAAGGAGGGGAAATCTCCTCCTGTGCCAGTCAGATGTGATTTGATGGTACAAAGAAAGGGGCGGGGGGAGGAGGAGGAGGGAGGGAGGCAGTAAGGAAGGAAGGAAGGGCCAGACACACACCCAGGTAAGATTCAATGGTGGCTCATTTCGGCTTAGACATCATACCTCTTCCAGGAAGTCTTCCTCCCTAGACTTCCCTGAGTACTAGTTACCTGGGAATAATCTTATTTCCCCCACAGTGGAAAAAATCTGTTGTCAAGGACCTTGCTAAAGTGTTGAGGAGCAATACTGTCAATTTAAAGACCAAGGTGCACCTGATCCAAATCATGGTCTTTTCAATTTCTTGCTATGTATTTGAAGTTGGATGGTAAAAAAGATGACAAAAGAATTGATGCCATTGAGCTGTGATGCTGGAGAAGAGTAAAGAATATCCCATGGACTTAAACCAAATATGTCTTATAGAAAGTACAATCAAGTGCTCGTTGGAGGCAGGCCTGATGAAGTTCTGTCTCAGATAATTTGGGCATGTTGTTAGGAAGGGATAGTCCTTGGAAAAGGTCATGATGCTTGAAAGGGTGAAGGGTCAGAGAAAGAGGACACTCAACCAGATGAATTGACACAGTGACTGCAGCAATGGGCTCTAGTGTGTCAATCATGGTGAGGATGGCACAGGACAGTGTTCAGATTAGTTTTCTTAGGTTCGCTGCGAACCTTCATGCTCAACTTCATGGCATCAAACAACAGCAATGACAATGTCTCCCACGGACTGGGCCTCTATGGAGATGGGTTTGCATCTTTTTTTCTCCCCTCTGATTTTCAGTTCCCTGCCTTCCAAGGCAATATAGGTGCTCCCTTGGCTGGACAGGCCTGGCCTCAAGGGTCGTACTCCTGAGAGTCCCTGGGCCAAGGAGCCAGGACACGGGGACAGCAGCTCTAAGAGCTGAAACTGTGTTTGGGGACAATGGCCCTGCGCTCTTCTGCTCAGAGAAGCTGTCTCCTGCATTCCCTAGCTTCTAACCTTTGATGACTTTGAGACCCCTTGTAGGGTTGATATAAACTCCAGGAAAATGCCCTGGCGCAGGGAAGGTTGTAAACAATTTCAAGTGATTCACGTCCCCCTAAACTCTGATGGCTCATTTCCCATTCAACGAACATCACACTCTACTCCTAGCCCAAGCTGGGTGCTAGGGATCCAGAAAGAGGGTTTAGTACCAAGGTCGGCGTGATAGCTGTGTTGGAGTGGGGAGGGAGGTGACGGAAAAAGTAGAGAAACCCCTGAGGTTTAGGCACTAGTTAAGCACAGCGCTCTCCAGCCTTGAGTTCATACCCAGTCGGGCTCTTGGGTTAAACTTGGTTACATATCCTTTCTATCATTCAGTCCCTCCAACACAAGCAGTTGGGGTTAAACCCATTTCACAGGGAAGGAAACTAAGGTTCAGAGAGGCTGGGCAATTCCCCAAGGTCACTCAGCCATCAGGTGTACTTATTGGGGTTAGGGAAGCAGGAGGAGCTCGTTTTTGCACAGGGCATGGGAAGTGCAGGAGAGGAGACAGTTGACCTGGGCCTCCAAGGATGCCGCTCAACTACTACTTGCAACCCAAAAGACGTGGGCTCCTGCGGGCAAAGAGGGGACTCGCCCAGCTCTGCACCTCCAGTACCGCAGAGATATGGGCGCCGCAGGGCCGGGAGAAGACAGCCTGGGTCCGTGTGTGTGTGTGGGGGGGTGCCGCTGCACGACAGACTCCGGGAGCTGGCTCATCTCTGTTTATCTCTCCTCCGTTTCCCGGTCTGGCTCTGCGCCTGCCCGCAGTGTTCTGAATGTAGGGGAGCTGGGTAGGCCCTGCTGAGTGCCCCACAACCGGGGTTCCAAGCAGTGCTTCCCGTCGCACCCCTCCCTCGCCAGCTCCTTACCTGGGCACGGCGCTTGCCCGCAGCCCGGCGTTCACCTTGCGCGCGTCCCTGCAGCGCCCGCCGCATCCCCGAGATGCTCAGGCTTAGCTAACCGATCTGGCGCAGCCGATCGCGAGCCCGCCCACAGCAGAGCCAGGCTTAACCCTTTCCCCTGGGGAGGCCTTTCATCCAATCTGATCCGGACCTCCTTTCTCAGGTTCTCAGAGTAAGAGAAGCTCTGGAGGCAGCTCTAGAGGCCTGGTGGGCAAGGAATGCTCTGCCAACCGGGATGTGGGTGGAAAAAAGATGGATAGTCTTCTGTGCTATTCACAGCCTCTGAAAGCCTTGTCAGCTGAGTTGGTTCTGACTCAATGGCAATGAATTTCAAGTCCAGGTGAAAATCCCTTCTGCAGCCGGCCTGCTTGCATACCTCGAGGGATGGGGAACTCAGTTTGTACATACATACTTACACATGTACAGATTTACCTACCTACCTTCCAACCATCTGCTTTCCAGGTGATTCCAATTCACAGGGCCTCGTATGCGTTAGTAGATTCATGCTCCACCGTTTGGTCTGGCTCACCTTTTTTTTCTCCATGGCTCACTTTTTGGAAGTAGATCACCAAGCCTTACTTTCAAAGAACCTCTAGGATAATTAACTGCTTGAACCAACTAGATTCTGCTAGCCTTCAATATTAATTGCATCTCAACATTGAGAAAACAAAGGGTCTTACCACTGGGTGTGGATAGGCAACATCATGATAGATGGTAAAACAATTGAAACTGTCAACAACTTCATCTTATGTAGATCCACAGTCCTTTGGTACCAGCATTCGGGAGACCAGGAGATGTATTGCTTTGGGTAAGTCCACTCTCAGGAACCTCTCCAAAATAGTGAAAAGCAATGTCAGTTTGAAGACTGAGGTGCATCTAATTCAGGCCATGCTTTTTCAGTTATTTGCTATGTTTCTGAGAGCTGGACCATAAATAAAGATGACCAAAGAAGAATTGATGCCTTTGAGTTGTGGTGTTGGAGAAGAGTACCCCAGGGACTGCTGAAAGAAAAAAAGATAAGCCCTGGAGAAAGGGCAGCCGGAGTGATTGTCGAAAGCAAGGATGGTGAAGCTTGGTCTCTCATACTTTGGACATGATGCTAAAAGAGGCTATTCCTTGTAAAGGGATGTTATGTTTAGAAAAGGTCAGAGAAAGAGAGGAAGACCCCCAGTGAGGTGTATTGACACAGTGACTCAACAATGGGCTTAAGTACATCAGAGATTATGAGGATGACACAGGTAGGATAAAATTCAGGTCTGTTGTTCATAGGGTCACTATGAGTCTTACTTGACTTGATGCCACCTAACAACAAAAATATTTAACTACCAACTGATCTGCCTACCTGTAGGTATATCTTATTTACTGCTTGATGTGTGAATACTTAACATTAGACCTTTTTCAATGTACAGAAGCACATTTTAAATAGAAATTAGTTAATACTATGCATATTGTCACCTTTCATTCTGCAATCTATGCTGGTATTTTTTCATGTGAATATCCATAGCTCTATGTAATTTCTTGCACTGCTGTATAGAGATTTTTAGTATATGTGTGGCCTATTATCTTTATTTGTACAGTCCCCTGTGGTTGGAAACGTAGGTTATCCCAACCTTTTGCTAGCAGGAACAATGAGCCAGGGGCTATTCTTGCACAGACATCATTGCATACCTCTAATTTCCTAGCTTGGATATAGTTAGGCCTTTGGGTCTGCAGATTTTCAGGTCTGATGCCCAGTGCTGTCAAGTTGATTCTGACTAGCATTTCTGTGGACATTACAAAGCAATGCATGGTTCTGCTCCACCCTCACAGTTCTTGCTAAGTTTGAGTTCACTGTTGCAGCCACAATGTCAATCCATCTTGTTGAGGGTCTTAATTTTTCTGACCCTTTAGTCAACCAAACCAGTCCCTCCTGATCATATGTCCAAAGTGCTTTTA